TCATATAAAAACAAGGCATTGCAATGAGACATTAACTTGTTGTATAATCCTTTACGAATACGCACAAATTGAGAACGTAAAATTGGAACTTTTGTGGAAAATTTTCATTAAATCAGTCAAGGGCGATGGGCTCGATGACTTCCTGGGAAGAATGTTACTCAGAAAATCCCTTCGTTTGTAGGATTTTGCAAAGCCAGATCTGCTCCTACCTCTCATTTGAAATTTCAAAGGTGTTGAAAGATCCACCTTCCAAAGACGTGTTAAAATTAGGTTGAGTTTAGCTTTTCCTTTACATCAATGTTTCACCTTATAATTAGGAATGTGAAGGAAAAACACACTTCTCATCCGAAATAAAGGCCATCCAGCATACCTTAAAGAACCAAACAATCCTTTGTCGCTTATCTATTTTTAAGGTAAGACCTCTTGTAGATGAGTTTTTAAAAAATGTGGTTTTCTGTATCCCTCCGAGAGTTTCCACTAGCCAGAAAAAGGCATTGAGTTGGGGTCGAATAAATGTATCCCAGAGGGTCACGAAGGGAGTCGGATGGGCTTATCTGTACAAGGGCAAGATAAATACCACAGTGTCTGTCAGTCATTCAAGTGGTCATATATACAGAGTGTTAGTTTTGTGCTGACGGTTGGTCGTACATTGCTTTTGATTGCCAGCTTCTCATAAGTCTGTCATGTGGCAGCCAGCGCTCCCGTCGTCCTTGCATTGTGATCGCATTTTGATCAACGTCAAGGGTCTAATGCTCAACCTGTCGTATTCCCTTCTTAAGTATTAGACGAAAAAGGCCTTCCATTCTAAAATCATACTGCAACTTACCGTTGTAAAGTAAAATGCTCCACAGTTGTTGAGAAGTTTTACTTGCTTCGACCGTCCTTGCTAGTGTGTAATTTCTCAAAGAACAATCCAAGTAAATAAAATTATCGTTCTCTAATATTTTGGATGTGGGAATTATGTCATGCTAAATGTACCTCTAAAATTGGTCAGTCACCTTCCGGTCTACTAACTGCGAATGTGGTTGTATGGTTTTTTTTTAAAAATAAGCTAAAGCTTCTCTTCTGAACACCTATTAAGAAATTTTGGGCAAATCTGTCTCTCAGTCTTAAATTCTTCCGCGTGCCCAGTAAGTTGCAAAAAGGAAATCTGTTAAGGACGGTATAAGAGCCAGTGGTCGAATCGTTTACTCTTCGCGCGTTTTTTCCTGTGAATGTGCTTAAGTGTATTCTTCTTAAAAGTCTACTCATTTGCAACCATGGCCAGTCAGCTAAGCGATAGATTTTCTTCAAAACGGAAACCACCAGACATATCGCCCGCACTTTCCTGTTGTTATTGAGGTAAATCAGCAGAGGCTTCCGCTGTCTATGCAATTTTATGAACTAGTTGTTGCATGATGCGCAATGCGTTTGACTTAATAGCGATTAACTGCAAAGGTGGCAGGCGGACATGTGCATCGCAGAGATTCTACATGGTCAAAAAAATATATCGCCAAGGCGCTAATTGCTCCACCTGGAGAAGACAACGAAGGTTCTGTAGTCGACTAGAATGCAAGGGTAGCTTAATTTCACCTCACCTTATTAAGGCGAACCGTCCAGATCATGCTGTCTGGGGTCTCATAGCCGTCGCGCCTTCCTCGCGCCAAATTTATGCGCTATTAAACCTTTAAACAAGATTCAAAGGCTCCTTTTTAGAAGTCGAGTTATTTTCTGGCAGTCTCTGCTATCAGTATTTCGCTTCTCTGAGTGATCAACGTGAGCAGCAAATCGAGACAGTAATGAAACATCTGTTTTTCAGGCATTCCTTAATGTTTCACTTCTTTGTCTTCTTTTCTACCTCCGCTTTAAGTGGAACTTTTTTCGCTCTTATTGCCCTGTAAACGCATTTGAATTGTAAAACGTGTACTAGAGGAGTATTTGCATTAAATCAATTTAGATATGGCATTGAAGCCAAAAAGGACCTCATTTTAACGAGTTCCGATTTGCTTTGTAGTGATTGAGTCTACCTTCATTTGGAAACGTACAAAAGGCGGTGTGCAACACCCTTCGTATTCGATTCCTCCTACATAGATATTCGAAACGACTATTACTAACTTTACACTTTAGTTATTACGCATTCTCAAACGATCAGGTGCGTAGATCCCAGAACCCATCCACGGTACACAAATGTTGGATTGGCACTGATATCACTAATTATGTTCACATAACACGGATCACGTTTCTCACCAGTTCCTCTCAGTTCTAAACGACAGAGTTTAACCTTAAAAAGACTCAATACTTCCACAGTCGATCAGTTTAATACGCTAACATTTAGCAAGGACAGTTCGACTTTACTGACTATAAAGGATAGTGACAATTAACAGCGAAACAATTACTTATGAAATCGTGATTGCACAATACTGATGCTTCCTAACCGCATGAACATCTGCACGGCTAGTCAGATGGACTCTTTTTGCCTCCAAAGAAAGCTGAACTGATGCTTGTTAGTAGCTTGAGGAACGAGGCAAACGGCAGTTGGAGCGAACAAAAAGCAACTTGCCCGCATCCTTCCCACATAATGCGCTCATGCCTTATGTGCTCACAGCAGTGATGATGTCGGCGAGAACGGATGGAACTCACAGTAATGCTAATGTTACCGGTGCCGAGGGAGGGCTGTAATCAGCCAATGCTAATGCCCTATTTCACCTTTTTATTTGTTTATACACCACTCACATGCCCTTATACTGAGCAGATGCGGAGGTTTGAAGAAGAAGAAGAAGAATATGGACAACACGTCAAGGCGACAACGAAATGAATTGACTCAACGAAAATTAAAAAAAAAAATACGTGAGACTAGTCTGTGTGCCGCAATTAAACTAAATCCCACTTCAGAAAACATTCGTTTAGTAGGAGAAAAATGCACATCAACCGTTAACCAAATAGACCATCAAATGGGATTAGTGGCACCCTCTTTTTTATACAAACTATTTGTCCCTCATGAAAACTGCAGTGGGATCAGGCCTTTGCTACGTGATGTTTCTAGCGGGCTATTGAAGGTCGGTTACGAATTAATTCGCGACAAATCACAATTACCAACTCGGAGGTAATTAGAATTCAGTGCGTGTTAGTTGAAAGCAGCCCCACATGAGGGCGCAGATGGTGGCTAGCGGCGAAAGCAAGAAGTCACCTAGCATCGACGGTGTAAGCCGAACGCAAGCGAGATGTCAGTTCCGTACTCGTGGAAGATTGCGACCAACTCTCCCACAGCCTTTCTCCGCCTCCTCATAAGGTACTCACATGTGTTAATTTTAAGTCCAGGTCAGATGGAGAGGCACAATCTACCGGTACATCCTCTTCGACTTCTGCATTTTCCTCCTCATCTACGGCATAACTTCCCTCACCTACCGCCATCTCATGTCCGAGGAATCCAGGAGGTTGAATCAGTATCTAACCCCTTTATTTTATAATAAAAGAATGACTTAGAGGACCTTTCCGACGTACAACTGTGATGCTACTCACAAAATCCTCGAATCATACATTTGTTACTACAAATCAATGGTGACGACTGGGATTTTGTTTTCTTTAAGAACTAAAGAAGTATTTTAACTAAAAGTGATAAGGCGCATGCATAAAACATTGTACTCCTGCCAGCGACTAGAGGTGAAGAAGCACAAGAAAATTGGCCAATTTCCTAGGTCGGTACTAAATGTACTTCCAACACATGCATTGTAGATCTAACATTATGTCTTTAGACTTTAATTTTTTCATTCTCCAAACACAAAGT